TCGAGCTATTTGTAATATAATAGCGGTTGCTCGTTCATGCAAATATCTTTGAAATTTTTCATAATCGCTTACGCTCGATATCAATTGAAGATTATTTATCACTCTTTTTTTATGAATTGCTCATGTTTGTACGAGTCTTTCATGAATATGTTCTCTTCCTGTTTTTCTAGTTATATTTACTCACTATGCACATATTTTAGTACTTTTCTTTTACTTGTCACATTTGAATCCTGATGCTGAAGAGAGTTACCCTTAGAAGACTCAATAAAAACAAATGTAAGTGAAAATGTTGTTAAAATTTATTAATGATTTTTATAGCAATATTATACTCAATTATTCATCATTTATTTTCTACTGTTTTATATCCTACGTATATGGCTAGTTGTTTTTTTTTGTCCTAACTATACAATACAATAATCAGCAGATGGAAGTAGTATTTTTAGTTGAAAGTTCTGAATACATAGATTGAATTTATTCTATTATTGATCGTATTATTGCATAACATTTATAAATGAATAGAAGCGTGTGTTTTCAGCAAAAATATTGAAAGTGGTGCTATAACACCGTTGAGAAATCAAATGTGTGTGTTTATCAATACTATTTCGACGACATTATTTTGATTTATAAACCCCTTGTGACAATTAACTCTTTTCTGAAGTGATGATGGAGAAAACAAAGGATAGCAGAAAAAGAAAAGAGCCGATAATAATAGTAGAAGAAGAAAAAGTTCATGATATATATTTATTGATTCTATTTTTTTTTTCTTTTTTCTTTTGACTTAGACTACTCAAATGTAATATTGTAATATACAATAAAATATAAGTGAGTGGGAATTTGCAAAAGAAAAAAAAAAAAACTCATTTAAATCAAACTTTAACAATGTACAGTAATGATAGGTTTTGTGTCATATAGTTAGACAAATTTTTAATAGATACTATTATATTTTATATGATGATCTTGATGATAAAATATAATAGAAATGAACGCTAGTTAACATTTTTCAAAAAATGTATTTAAAATTTAATATATTTACTATCGTATAACACCTGAAAAACATTTATCTGTTATATTTGATATCATTCTTTAGAATATTTTTATAGAACTCTATTTTTTGTCAAAATGACATTTAAATAAATGAGAGTGAATAATTGTTTTTGTATTAAAGTGTAAATATATTTATAGTTTGAATACTAAGAGTAAAGATAGATTCTTTATACATATATATGTATGTACTAATGGCTCTGAATAACAAGTAAATTGCGAAAGAAAAAAAAGAATTTATAACCCTATCACGATTAAATCTGGACTAGAAATAAAAATTAAATGACATACATTGATTTTTTTTTTTTTCGTGTGATTTTCTTCTATTCTCCGCTCTTTCTCAAACTGTATCTATCGAACGCGTGTATATATTGTCCATCAGGTGCCATAATATTCTTCTCTCTCTCTCTTTTTTTTTTCTTTCTCTTCGACCAAATATGTATGTGTCTGTGTAAAGAATGTAGGTCGAGCGAAATAAATCATCTTTATATATTTTCTGCTCAATCTTATGCAATGGATAATCGGATAAAGGTAAAACGTGAGATTTGTTCCTCTCTTAAGCTTTTGACGCGTCGTCGTTATTATTGTTGTTGTTTTTGTTGTTACTTTTAAAATCACTTAATTATCTAAGTTGAATTAAATTTAACACTAGAACGCCCGTAGCGGTCATTTTGACCGTTTTGTGATTTTTATCCTTAATAAAACAAACTGCATACAATTTATTTAAAAATAAATTATGTCATAACTTTTAATTTGTCCCACAAAAATTATTTTTTGCAGAATTTTTAATTCATTTTTTTAATTCAGAACCATTTTTAAGTATAAAATTTTAAAAAAAAAACAGTAACGGTCAAAATGATCGCTTTATGCGTTCTAGGTCATGAAAATTTCCGGGCGTTCTAATGTTAAGATCAACAATTGAATAAAATAAAATTGTATACTTACTGATATCTTATGGGAAATATATTTGTAAAAATGTTCAATCTCTTGATATTTGTTTGAACGTTAACATGTTGTTGTTGATGTAATTAGATTGGAAAAAAAAACAATTGTATAGTTTTTTTCTTTAGTTTTATCGTCCCGTGTGTATTCTTATAACGTAAACAGCTTAAAATAATTTAATACTTGTACTAAGATTAAATTCCAGTTTGTACTATTTATAACACAACTGTATAGGAATAAGAAAATATTATAGTAGATTGTGTCAAACTTTTTTTGTTGGTATGTTTACATCTTATGAAGAGAAAGAAATTTAATCTACAGTATACCAATTGCTCTAATTCTAATCGTCCATATACACCCATTTATATTAAATTTAATATATGATGAGAATTACATTATTAAATAAAACTGTACAATAAGTATGTATAATATTTAACAAGCAGGCCTATCGATCAAAGATTTTTGTTTCCATGAAAGGTATATTTTAATATATGTCTTGATATGTGATTAGATTTACTCTTCAGTTTGCTGATACCGACTCTATTATTGTAACAAAATGTAATATAACCTGTAAAAATTGAGTTTGAATATTTTCGTGCCTATTTTTTATCAGTGACATTTTTCTCTGTTCCACATGCTTTCTTATCGATGTTTCGTAAATAATATAGCTAAAATAGATTTTTAAGGTTATAAAAATCCATGAAGAGAAAGAAATACAACTATTTTTTTTAGGTGTCCAATTGGATGTCTAGACATCCGATTATTTTAGTTCGTTTTTCTTTTCTCCTTAGAATCCTTTTTTTACTCTTGAGTCTAGAGATAATGGTAAAAAGTATTCGAATGGAAAATATTATTTCTACTATGTTGATTGATAAAAACGTGTTATATTAAAGTTATTCATTAACATTTTCAAGTTGTGTGAATATATTGAAATTAAATAACACCATAAAGAAAAAAATTGTGTTTGATTGGACAAAGTCGAACACTTCTAGGTTTTTTTTTTACTCGGAAATAAGGTGGTGCGACGTCATTGTCTATATGTATGTGTGTATGTCTGTGTGTGCCCCTGGTGTTGTTATAAATTTCTCATATAGTCACATTTTTTTGTTGATGGATGTTATGTATATGATACCGACACGTCGGTATATAATATAATTTATCACATTTCAATTCATGATGGCTAAAAACTGTGTAAATGACCTTCTCTATTTCGAAAAATAAAATTTTTTTCTTCTTCTTTTGTGTTCTTTTTTTACTACTGCTACTACTATTATATTCTGTTTAGTGATGCCGCTATTATTTTCTATCTATGGTGAGTGTATATCTTCGAAAAGATCTATTGGAAATAAATATTTTCGTGTGCACACATGTACGTTCAATGTAAAAATACTAATAAAAACATTTTCTATAGTTTTGTTGTTATGTTTTTCTTCGAATGTGTGTGTGAGTGTGTGTGTGTATAAGGTCGGAGGCTCAAAGAACATCTGTCCACTGATATGTACATTTCATACACATACCAAGAAGAAAAAAGAAAATCCGTACACTTTTTCTCGTTCGTTAATGACCGTAGGAAGATTAATGAGAGACGGACGATTGTTGTAGAACAGCAAGAAAAAGAAAAAGAGAGAAAAAAAAAAGAAGCAGCTTAAATAGCGACTTTTAGATCATGTACATAAAAGAATCTATTGTTCAAAACAACAGAACAATTGTATGTGTATGTTGTTCCATTACTTTTTTTTTCTTCTATTCATCCACAAATCTTATAAAACAGTTTTTTTTAGTAATCGCTTATATTGAACATAACAGTAAGTTTAAATTAACAACAAATCAGTCGTATAAGTTCGTAAATTTCAATTTGAATAAAGAATAAAGGAAAAATGAATGCGTGTGAGTAAATTGATCATCCAAATCGACCTTGTACTTCTTCTTTCTTTCTCTCTCTTTTGCTTTTTTTATTAAAGTACCTACATAATAATAGAGGAGAAGAAATAATTTTATTTAAAATAAATTTATTGGCAATTATATTTTGTTTGGCCTTCCTTGTTCTATGATATGCTTCCCATATAGGAGGGAAAAATGAATGTGAACGAAATACTTTTGATTTTCGGCTTTCTTTCGTTGTGGAAGTGTGTGTGTGTGTATGTGTGTGTGTGTGTAATTGATCTAGTGTATAAATAGAATAGGAGATCATTTATTTTTGTCTGTAAGAACTAATTGACATTGAGATTGGACGTATATATTTTAAGTGCTAGCTTTTACAACAATAAAATAAAAGCTCTCATTACTACATTACTTCGAGCGATAATTTGTTAAATGTTAAACTCATACACGCTGGAATGCTGTTGGTTGTGATCAAATTTTCCTCTGAAAAAATTTCATGATTTTTTTACTGCTTTATTATTAAAATTTATCCATTTATATATTCCATTTTTATTTGTAAGAAAATATTGAAGATTTCATGGTCACGGCTTTTCAGTAACAAAAAGATAAAAAGAAAAAAAAACAATAGCAGCTGACATTTTTTCTTTCGACTATAATCAATTGAAGAAAAAGAAAAAAAATACAAAACATCAAGGTAATATGGTCAGAATTATCGATGATACACAGAGTATAATTCACTTGTTTGCTCAATTGATGTTTGTGAGCATTATCTGTTGACTGCTAATAAGAAGAAATTGAAAATTTTCCATTAGCTACGCATATTTCTGATGACTTCAGCATTATTATTATTATTATTTTTGAAAATGTATCGTATTTTTTATCTAACAAATGTTTTTGTCTATAAAAAAAATTGACAGATAAAATGATACAAATAATGTGGTTTCTGGACTAGAACGTACATCATATTTTTATCCTTATCGATCATTTAATATCAAGATAATAAATCAATTACTTTTTGTTCTTATTTATCATCTTTTCTCTTGTATACTCACGACACTCAACATTTTCTTATTTCTAGGCTTTATCAATTTTTAAATCAATTTCTCCCGTGATGACGAAAGAGAGACGTTAACAAGATGACATCTGGATGGTGTGGAAAAATTGCCAATACATTTTATGATATATTCAATGGATGGTCTGTTGATCAATTAACAAAATCGTATAGTAAAAGTATCAATGGTATAAATAATAATAATAATAATAATAATAATAATAGAAATGATACAGATAATAATAATAATATCAATAATAATATTAACGATAGAAATAATTATCTGAATAGAAAACCTCTTGAAAGATCAGAATCATTGTGGAGTTGGGCTGGCACTGGATTTAATAATTATGGATATACGTAAGTAAAAAATAGTCTAATGAATATTCTAATAGAAGGAAAAAAACTTTTCTTTTACGTTTAGTCGAGAGTGTCGACAACAATTTTCTTCTCAAATTGAAAGTGCATGTACATGTCATGATACATTGTTTATTTGTGATCATCAACGAAATCAACTGGGTATTTCAACGACGTAAGTTATATTCCAGAACAAAAAAAAATATATATTTTATATACAATTATTTTCTTTCTTTGTCATCATCTAGTTCCAATACATCATTGAACATACCATACTATCGGTAAGTAATATCTATGTAACATAGATATAACAATAATTACATTGCACAACGTTGTTAAAACCGATTAAAAAATATCTTTTCGTTATATAAATCAGTAAATGATGAAAAAACATTTTTTGTAAACATAAAGTTCGTTAAATAATGCTAATACATCTTTGTTCGATACAATTTTTCAAAAATATTTCGTGATACTTCTAAACGTCTAATCAATCTATGTTTTTCGTTTATCTTGTATTGGAAAGGAATTTTTAATTACAAGAAAATTTTATTCTCCCGATTTTAGTTGTTACAGGTGTAGATTTTGAGAATTCAGCCATAGTTTTTATCCGCTTTAGCTTCAGATATAACTTTTAAAATAAAAACTATTTTGTGACTTGTATTATCTTTTGAGCAGTCATTTTACGGATGACATTTCACTAAAGAGTTTTTTTTATCATAATTTTTTTTCTGTTTGTTTCGCGTGAATTCAATCTATATTGAATTAGTTACAACTGTCTTAGATTAACTATAAAAGTATGAAAAGATAAAAAATATCTCAATGTATTTCATTACTATTGATGATGAGATTTTATTTTGTTGATAGAGCAATTTCCAAAATTCATATATTGAGCTGCTCTTAGTTGATAATAAGTCTCAGATAAGAGAAAAGGCGTTTTTATCGATGCATATCTGAAATATAGAGCCTATTTTAACATATATGCACTTATTGTTTTCTTCTTTTCTATATTCTGCTTATCATTAATTGTTCAATTTCTATTCTCATCACCAGATTAATACATTTATATGATAACGAATCAATTAAACAAATATTATTTAAACTAAAAGAAAAAGAAACTTTAAATGTCTTAAATATCAACTGTTTCCTGTATTTCTGACGCAATGTTGAATATATATACACTCAAAAGAACAAGAATATAGTTCATTAGTTTATGTGCCTTTGAGTTAGTAAATATTTTATTAAAAGAACTTTAATATTAGTTTCATCGGTACTAGCTTGTTGACCTGTTTTTTTTGACTCGCCTATTTTTCTTTTACCATCGTCTTCAAATATATTCACACGTGCACTAATTTCAATGTATATATATCTCTATATAATAATAAACATGGTTATTCTATTTCGTTTCTCCTCTCTCTCTCTTAAATTCTTTTTCATTTCTTTTTTTTGCTTTTGTATTAAACGTATGTACGTATATGTAAAGAGAATACATATACAAATATTGATCTGAATACGTGATCTAAAGATATGTTTGTAATCTCATTGATAAATAGAAAACATGCAGAGTTGTGGAATTTTATTTTGTTCCTATAAATACATGTACAAACATATGACAAAAAACAGAAGCAAATAATAATGTTTCGATTTAGATGTCCACCACTCGGTTTTCAACAACCATGTCAACAACAACAACAACAACAACAACAATATCGAAATCAAGTTTTAGCACCAGCACTTAATCGTAGCTATTCGTTAGATTTACCACCATCAAGTTATAATAACTACAATAATAATAATAATAACAATACGTTCTATCAACCGTTTCCAAATATAATTCCAATAAATAGTCAACAACCATCAACAGATTTAAATGATCAACGATTACCCACAATGGGTATTACTAGACAAATAAATAAACCAATATATTCGTCTAATGAGCAACAACAACAACAACGAGATTCTATAACAAAAGTTCGTATCACAGTTTAATTTATAGATTTCTTTCATTATAAATGACACTTATCACTTGAACAGATAGAAATCGTATATATCTTTTAAAATGATTAATTTTGCGTCTTTGTTTTTAGAATACAAATAATCCAAAACTTTGTCAAAAACTATCAGCTCGTTCTTCTTGTTCAATTCCTGGCGATTATGATAACACCAGTGAACAACAAATTCAAAATAATGAAGAAATTATTCGATCTACCGTTAAAAATGTAAATAGAAAAATAGAAAAAAATATGCTAAAATTAAAATATTTTTATCTCGTTTTTAGCTCGTTTCTCGTTCATCTCCTTATCCAATGATTTATATACCACTAGGAAATACTGATTATCGAGTTGAAGGTGGTTATTCAAATGATTCATCTCTTTGGTCAATCGTTAATACGGTATCATCAGCTGATTGTCAAATTGATTGCGATAATATATCACAAATATATAATAATGATTTTTACGAACAGGTCTGATATTTATTGACCTATTTCTTAATCTTGATTCTACGATTATTATTTTTTTTCTAGTATCATCTGAACTTATATGCGATTGATAAAGATTTAAACCCTGTCGTTATGTCAGTCAAACTAAATGGAGTACATAATAGTCGATCTGTCATTGTTCGGTAATTATAATTAATTTATTAAAGAAAGTCATTTTATTTATTTTTCTTATCTTTAGAACTAAGGAAAGTTCAAAATATGCTGAATTATCTGAGAATAATTCAGACAATTTAGATTATAGCTCATATTGTAATCAATTATATCCAAATGTCAAAGTTGATCATTTTGAAACATGTTCAAGTCTTAAAGTAAAAATAAGTTATTTATTTGAACTCAAAATTTTGACACGTTTATTGATTAACAGGCTGCTCAATTTGTTAAAGCGTATGATGAAAAATTGGAAACACAAAAATTTAAATTTGGAGTCATTTATCAACGACGAGGACAGGTAAAATATTTAATTTTCTTATTATTTTTGATTTCATATGATAGTCTACATTTTTAGACTACCGAAGAAGAATTTTTTAATAATGAGAGGCATGGCCGAGCATTAGATGAATTTTTAGACAAAATTGCAACACGAGTGTCCTTAAGAGATTTTAAAGGGTGAATGTTGCTTTCTTCATCTCTTAATTAATTATGTTACCTTTCCATATTTATATTCAGATTTCGTGCCGGTCTTGATACCAGTGGCAAAACTGATACGCCAATATCTTATTATGAATTATATGAAAATAAAGAAATAATGTTTCATGTATCGACATTGCTTCCATTTACATGCACAGATCGACAACAAGTACAACGTAAACGACATATTGGAAACGATATTGTTGCCATTGTGTTTCAAGAAGAAAATACACCTTTTCATCCGTCGATGATACGATCAAATTTTTTACATGCATTTCTCGTTGTACAACCTGTCTATAATGCATCAAGAACATGCTATAAAGTAAATTTATATTTGATATTTATAATTCTTTTTCGTCAAAAATAGTCTTCTGGGTGTAATTTAACTAATTTCACAAAAGTGACCATTACTTCAGGTTAGAAAGATGGTATGAGTTTTATTTTTGTCATATCGTTTCTAGCGACAGTGAACATATACGATACTATCTACCTTTTAGATCAATTGTAATTCAATATACTTCATTTTTCTTTCCTCGTAGATCATGCTTGTTACTCGTCGAGATGTCGAATCATTCAATCCCGTTTTACATGAAAATTGCGTTTATCTCAAATCATCTGATTTTTTAAAGCCATTTATTCTTACAAAATTGATAAATGCCGAATATGCATGTTATCGTTGTCGTACATTTTCATTATTACAAGAACGTACACGTTGTGCATATTTAAAAACTCTATGTGAACATTTAACAACAAAAACATATGATATTTTGTGTGATGAACAAAAATCGTCTCAACGACGTGCATCATTGTTATCAAATTCAACAAAAAGACGTTATTTTTCATCAATGAAAAAAATGTTTGGTAGAAGTAATAGTACGCCTGATGGTAGAATATCGACATCAGACACAAGTACCAGAACTTTTATAAATACGCTGAACAATGAATCGGAAATAAATGGAAAAGTATAAATAATTTAGAAACAATTTTCAGAAACAAGAGCAATGTGTTTCTATTTTTTTAAGGATCGTCGAAAAAATAGTAAAAAACTTTCAAGAACATCAAATATAATAGAATCTCTTGATGAAACAACGATACTTGGACCATTACGTTCATCTATGATTTTGTCAGAGTAAGTGTGATCAATTGTGTGTGATATAACCATTTTGGAAGTATGTTTTATTTTTTATAGAGGACAAGATTTGACAAATGAGAAAAATTTAATTAATCGGTAAAAAGTTATTTGTTTGACATTCTTTTTTCTTACAATAACTTATGTGGGAATTTGAATTTAGAACGTTAACTGGACTTAGTTTTGAAAGCTTAAATAGTACAGATACACCATCTGATCATCGTCCACAAATGTACTATGAAGAATCAGACGAAGGTCTCGACAGTATGTCATCTGCTGAAACCCACATTTCACCATCACATCCTGTTCTGTACGATAATGATCAACACCAAGATCCAGATGGTAGGTTTTTTTCTCAAATCAGCATTGTTGTTATTAGCTACGTTCTTCGTTATGTTTTAGTATATCGACAACAGCTACGTCAAGCTGAAAAAAAGAATGATGCTTACATCAAACCGGTTGTAGTAAGTATTGTAAAAAAATTTATTTTTAGAATACAACATGTTTGACTATTGTTTAGTATAATTCATGGCATCATCCGAAATCGTCAATGAAAATATTTATGCCACAAACGACAGGTATCCATATAAGTGAAGAAGCAGCCATTGTTTGATATTATGTGATTTTTCCTTTTTTTTGCTCAATATTCTCTTTCTTTTAAGACATTTTTATTTCTCTCTCCTGGTATAACGACGATGCATACGTGCTGATTTTCCTCTAAAGTCATCGTCGCCATAGTATTTATTATGTCTCTCTCTCTCTCTCTCTCTCTCTCTTTCTCTGTTTTCAAAATAAAACAGATTAAGATCTAAACACAAAAATCTCGTTTTGTTGTTTCATCTCTTTTTTTATTTCATTTTATAAAAATGAAATAAATTTCGTTGTTTTATTTGTATTTTTTTTTGTTCTTCGACGACAGTTGTTAAAAATATAGAAACAGAAGAGGTTATTTTTTCGTACGGATGTTTTTTTTGTTTTTTTTTGTTACATGTACATAAAACTACACTCATCAATTAAACGACTTTTATATATTTCAAGTTAATTTAATTCAGGTTGTTCAGTGATTGAAAAAAGACAAGCAGAGGGAAGCAAAGGAGTGTGAGCTATCAATACTGTCGGGAAATATCCAGATATGATCTGGATGTCAGTAATGATATTGAAACGAGGTTATTGTGCTAAAAATGCGAAAAGAGCCAGATTGGTTACTCAAATGATGGAGCCATGGAAGAGGAGATTTTTGTTGGCATATCCTCGCTATGCTATCTCAACTGAGCTGTCCATTGTTACTAATCCAAGAGCAAATTCTCTCCTCTCACTAACACCACCTTGAGTTCATTCTTTTGCAAAAGATTCGCCAGTCAATTTCTTTTACAAATCCTATGAAGAGTTTGATACATATTAATCGCGAAATTTTAAAGCGTGTTCAGCCAAAACTCATTGCAGATTCGTACTTCCTATAGTCGATTACCTTGTACGCAACAAGTTTTGAATTTTTCCAGAAAAATTTCTCACGAGGGAACCGCCGAGGTGATAATCTCCGTTTTTCTTCGTTCATACCTCTGTTGATAGAGGGCATCGAGCTGACAAAAAGCCTAAATAGGTTTCTGCGGAGGGCTCCTAA